CGTCAATTCATGGCTCGCCGGACGTGTTGGTTACCAGCAGACCACGTGACCGTCGTCCGGCTCAGTTGTTTCAACCAGAATCGGAACCAAGCCCTTTGTTGCATCCTCCCATAGACATCTCTTATTTGCATACTAATGATGACTATTTTCTTCCCGATTTTACCCAAGTAAACTCGTCTGACACTTCGCGAGAAAAATTGATTACGCGAATCGCTGACGAGGAAATCCGATTGGATCACCGTGAAAACCCTCATGTCAACAACGTGCTTATTGAAGGTAGAGTTATCTTGTTTGCTACTTTTAAATTGTTCTCTACATTTTGCCTCCAAATACTGAAACTACAGTTAGATTACTTCCAGTTCCAATATCATCCACTAAAATCCGCAGTTTACGGGTGCTGTTGGCAGTCTCTTCATCCAAGATAATTTTTCTGAAAACTGATTGTTCAAGAATTATACCACCAAATATGTTAGGGTTCGAGGCATGCGGTGGAAGTCAACTTTTTTAGGACTTATAGAACACTAAGGAAGTGTGTATTTATCCGTGGTTTTTTTATAACCGCAAAGTTATCTTTTTCTCATCTCCTTTCCATTTGGGTTTCTTATAATTCATGTTGTAGTAAATAAGTATCAACAAACTACGTATTTTCGAGAATTTTGAATCACTTAGACCACCAAATTCATGGTACACAAATTACACAAGTGGTTCTCGTTATGGGAACTGCGCTAATATGATAAACTAAATGTTATAGGTAGGCGTTTTTCGCCGTCGCATTAGCGGACTGGGGTTTTTCCTACGAGTCTACTGTATATCCGTCTGTTCAACCGAATCCCATAGATGATTTACGAAAGTTGACTTGACACCAAATATTAGTTTTTCTGAATCACATTGGTGTGCCGGTTATCCACCTATTGATGAAACCGGTAATTCCGCAATGGGGAGCGAGTGGCCTATTCGCTGCGCAATTGGTTTGAGCAACAAATTAACTGATCCAACAGTAAGGTGATGTCATTACGTGCTCTATCATAACCAAGGTAGGATTCCAAGAGTCTACTTGGATTTTATGCGGTGAAGCGGCCATTGAATCTGATATAGTTCGTCTACCTTACGCAAGTTTTTTTTGATAATCTCGCATTATTTAAATTAGGGTAGCACCGAACACTTGGATATGTACAAATAAATCACTTGTTCAAACCACTGTGTCATATATGCCGTCACACCAATGCGATATAGCATTTTGCCGCTTAACACCTCTGAGAAAATCACATATAAGCACAAAGGGTTTATGACGAGTACGCGACCATATCGGTCAGATGTTCGCTCTACTTCAGATGCTTACATCACGCACACTACAGACCGGTAATCGGTTTTTCTCAACCCTAATGAAGTCCTGGCTTTGATAAAACTTCAAAACTTCTCTCGGTCTTGTGGGACTACGCCTGGGCACATGTCGATTGCTCTGTGTGCATGGTTCCACTGACCTTTCCGTTGTGAAGCATCGCTAATGCTTTTCAAGAATGCCCCATTTTGTCATTCCTAGTGTATTTTATCTCACAGTAAGTATGAGATACTATACTAAGAGAGTAGCTGAATAGAAGTGATGCGACTAAACTTATCTGCTTAGATTCGCGGTATGCAAAAATCGTATTTGACGGACTAAGGATGAATGAAGCTTTTCTCGACACGCGACAGCAATAAACTGGTTGGTTGTCATTCGACGATTGATGGTAGCGCATTGAATAAAGGAGCCACGTGGATACTGATGTCCTTTCGGATCGCAATTCTCAAGGTTCGAACGCTTCCACCACCGCCCAAGTTTGCTGATTTCCAACCTCGCTGTCACCTTGCTCAATATCGTGCTTATCCCTTCCGGGCCTGATTTGGTTCGCCACTTCGAGTAAACAATATGTCCTCGTGACTGAGGTTCACCTCTTTGGTTTGTCACCAAGGTGCGAAATAACAAGCTATATCTAAAGTATTAGTGCTTTTTGGGGTGCATCATTCTAAATTCCGACTCCCAATGGGTTAAAAACTTTTTTAGTAGGAAGTTTTTAAATTCCGTTTTTTGATGTTCCCGAAAAGGGCGGATTGAAAATCATCAAACTACGGGTGGGAAAGTTGAGTAACGGAACGGATTTGAAACCCACGAACTGTGGCGGTAGGCACGCAACCTAGATTGCTTGACCACAACCACAGATGTTTGTTGCTATGATATTTATCCCATCTGCCGTTCATCCCACTATAATAAACCATGGAACTGCGTGTCCCGTGTAGCACTTTTTTGCGACCAATTTTTATGACCGAAATTAGTTATATATCTAACAATTGTAACTCAATGAACAAAAGAAGCTACAGGTATGTAAAGTGCTCATATGGTATACGTTAGGATAACGTAACATTTGACCGAAATTCCCACTCGTATTTCCCTTAAAAATGCGGTTAATTCTTTCAATGACCAAAACGTTGCATGTATGCTTCTGTGCCAAAGACGTCCATTGTTCTATGGTTTTCAACCGCTAACGCTTGATGTTTTGTCATGGAAATGGTAGCGTAACTGGATTGTCTACACCAACATAGAACATTGGTTCTTTGCGTATATCCCGGAGGCAGGTTTGCCGTCATAGAGTACTAATCTGCGTAGATTTCCCCCTCGGATTACGTACAGCGCACATCTGGCAGTTTTATTTCACACACCTGTTTCACTGTCTGCTCCTGGCTGAAATAAGTCACGTGGTTTTCAATACAAGGGCAGTCTATGGATACTTTTGCACAGAATTTAGATAGAGGGATTTTTTTGTGTTGACTGAGACTCGAATGACCATGTAGCTAGTGAGCCCAGTGCTCTAAGGAATACGATGACATTTGTGTGGTAAGAATTCCGGATCACTACCACGCCCGACCTGTGGAAACTTTATGTGGTTCACCACGCCAAGTCCCACGGTTAAATCGCCTGTTTTCTAGATCATGCATGAACAGCACAACTACAATTATTCGTCACATACACACTCTGAACTCAAAAACTTTCACTGCATTCACTAACATTTGCGGTTTGAGCCAGAATGTTGACTTTGTACACCGCTTTCTCCAATCTTCCCCCTTCTTGGCTTTATTTTTGACCGAAACAAATCTCTCCCCCGTCAGACACCGCTTATCTTCAGTTTCTTAGTTACTTTCTCCATTCTTCTTTACCCTCAACTTTGGGGCCTGCACCTATGTGCATCATTCTTTCACCTCTTCCCAACTTTCACACCTCGATTTCTCCAGCTGTAATTTACAGCATATGGCGGAAGCTTCGGTTCCCTTTATTCGACCACTGTTTTGATACCATTACCGCTCAGAGTAGCAGTAGTCCCTCTGATATTCTACCTTCCAACATTGAGGTAATAATGACTACAGACCCCAAATTACCCTTATCGGAGATTTCAATGACCACAACAAGGAGTAACTGATGCGCTCCCCAAACATTCGATCATTTGACGCGAAGCTCTTGCTGTGGTCAACATTCTGAGTCAAGTTGTTGCCCCCTCCCCCCCCACACACGTATTTCTGATCGTACTGGCGGCCACGCCCATACCCTGAATCCCTTTCTCACATCTTCTTTCTCAAACATCACTCCCCTCTTGGCTCAGCGAATTTTTGCCTCATTTCGCTCATTCCGTTTCACCACCTAACTCCGAACGCACCTTTTGGTGTTACGACCCAGTCAACTGGGATGGTTTTCGTCACCTTCCGGATTGTTATCCTTGGAATGACTGTTGTGTCAAGTCTGATGTTTCCACCTTTCAAACCACAGATTGCTATTCTGGCGCTCATTTCATGGTCATGAATAGATGGAACCATGTCTCGTCTTTAATTCGGCTCACAACATCCTTGGTTTTAAACACAGAATCAGCAAGCTGGTTCTAGCTCGAGTGTTCTCTTTACCATCCCATGTATGGGATACCCTTGGACCATGCGGCTTACCCCTTACTCTGTTCTTTTCTGTGATAAAAAATATTCCTTTATTTATATTCCATACTTTTTCAAATCCTGCAAACCACGATCCCCTGATTGATTTATTCATACTTGCAACCGTGCTGTACGTTTTAAAAAACCCAGCAGTCCGTCGTTTGTGTTGCTCACTACCCTCAGCATCACACCGCCGCTTCATGCAAGCCGGAAACAGGTGCTCGCTAACCTCAGGGCAGAGCACCTGGCCTCACCAGCCACTGGTAACTATACACTCTGGTCCCTCGCTAAATCAATTGCATGAAATTTCCGCCTTCAAATTTTATTGTTTGCTACCCCGCTCCCCCACCCGTAAAACTGAGGTATTCGTTTCCCTTGGTGTCCAATTTATTTACCGTGTCAAGCTTCAGGTTATCCGGTTGATCAACCAACCGTCTTCAAATTCAAATCTGCAGTTGCTTTCCTATTGCCGAGCAGTTGTTTCTTTATTTTTTCTCTACCGTTACCATTTTGTTTTCTGTTGTTCCGAATTCACTTAAGCGGTTCCCCTTCCGTCATCCTTTTCTCGTTCTCATGCAAAGATACATCCTTATCAGGTTTCTGTCCCCAGGTGCCGGATTTTTATCTTACAGTCCTATCTTCCCCAGGACCGCAAAATTTCGAAGCACTTCCAATCTCCGTATTTCCAACCGCTTATAATCTTGTTCTTCAGAAGCGGAATTAACGTATTGGCTCACCTGAATGTTCCCCAACGTACCTTTTCACGGTAATTCCTCGACTGTGAGTTTTTCCCCTTTTGCTGTAAATCACTTGGGTGTGTAATGAAAAATATCAATCACATGGCTTCACAGACATTTTGTCTTGCGGTTCGCCATTTCCCCTTCGAGGTGGCCCGATTCCTAAATACATATTAATTTTTTACTGTACTTTTCGGTGCAGATGGCGCATTATATCTCTTTTCATTGTTTATGATGCTTTATTTTGATAACTACTTAAGTGTTTTCAAATAAACATATCAAGCACATTCTTTTGTCATTTGTGAAATGGTTTTTTTGCATTACAGTTCCGAATTGGCGTGTCCTGACCTTGGATGACGTCAGAAGGAGTTTACTTTCAAGGAAAACTGTTAACTTGAATGCAATCACCACCTCGTCGGAATCTGGTCGTAGTGGCCGTACGCGTCGGGCAAGCGTCACTGTCCATGCCCTTGGCGTTGGCAAAACCAAAAATCATGGTGAAGGGTCAAAGACCGGAGTCTCCAGTGTCCGTAGCCCGTCGATTTCCTCTGATCCCGAGGATATCTCGGATGCAGCCTATCTGATCCGACACTCAAAGCTAGAAACTGAAGAGATCCGACGGGAACGTCGCTCACGCCAGCATACGATGGAGCAAGAACTTAAAATGCGTTGGGAACTGCGCGATCAAGCTAGTTGGGTGAGTTTCTATTTCCGCTAATGCTTGTAGTGTAATGGCTTGGATATTGTTCCCGAGTAATTTTCCACCATATATACGGTCTCAAATAGGGAGTTCAGTTCAGTTTACACAACCATCAACCATGCACTTTTGTGCTCCGGTTTTGGTTGCTGCCCATTTAGAGACAGACAAGAAAGTTGAAAGTAGAGTCGAATAGAAAATGGGGAATTTCAGTAGACTAATGTTGCAAAGA